TAGATTGAGCAAACAGCTCATAAAAAGTATCACCAAAAGTAATTTTGTTTCGTTAATAACTTTGAGAAGCTTGTATCAGCCAATTCTAATTTTTTTCTAATCCTCTACCAAGAACAAACAGTTAAGAGTCTGCAGAACGACTCTGTCTCTCTCTGTTTCCTGCACCACAAATTACCATGAAGGTGTTTTGTGCTTCACTGTTAATTATAGATATATGTATATATATCACAATGCAATTACACTGTACTTCCTCAGATTAGAATGAGACACTCTTTTCATAAAGCAGATTTAAGATCAGCTAAAATCCAGTGACCCTAACAACTACTTTTAAAATACACACATCAACAGCATTTCTAAATCACATTTAATAAAGAACAATCCTGCATGATCACTTTTTGACATTAATCACTCTGACATCCATGTGAATATTTGACCTGTGTTTCAAACTGTGTGTTAATGAAGCTGCTTTGTCACTGTATAATGTTTTTTTTATGAAGCTTTATTTCAGTAGAAGAAGGGTCATCCTGCATGCATTTAAAAAAAATTGAAGGCATTGTAAGTCTTGAATAAAATGTTTGCAGCCTGATTGTTGTTGTATTAAATAACGTGAAACTGTTATAAAACATGATCCTTAATCTCCCCCCTTCATGTCAGCGGGGTGTATATCAGAGGCTTGAAACAGATGTGAACTGTCTGTCTGTAAAAGTGATCCTCGTCCACAGGAAGCAGCAGTGACGGCTTGCAGAAGGATCTAGTTGCACCGAAACGTGTCATTGTGAGTTTTGGCTTAGTGCAGCACTGACGTTGTCTGTATCGAGTTCTTACAGACAAATAAAAATTGTGGCATTTTGTTCTCTTTTTTTTTTCTGTGACTTTGAAATGTGTCTGGAGTGAAATGTTCTGCAAGGGAAATGTCTGGACTGCTCTGGGACAGCGGGTGTCTCAGTAAAGCAGGCTTGACTTTAATTCTTGAATTTAACGACGTTTCTTTGATTTAGAGGGTCTGATGAAACACATTACTTCTGCTGTTTATACTGAACTTCATACTATACCATGTAAAAAATGGCATTTCATGAGTTGAGAATGGCTTATCATAGGATATACTGTTTTAAACTTTGGGGACTTTTCTATATCATAAAGTTTTGACGATTTATTTCCCTTTAATTCATTTAAATCTCATTTCAGTTTTTTACATAAAATAGATTTAGTGGAGCCTTGAAGTGTCACTTCAATAGTGTTGTTACCCTCTATCTGTTTTTATTTTTTTAATTCACATCAGGGTCAGTGAAAGCAACAATCTCAGGAAGTTATCTTTGCAAAGGTCAAACTGGTAAGTCAGACTTTTTATTCCATGTAGAGATAGTTGTCTAACCTGCTACTGTAGACCACCAAGAGTCAACTTTTCCACTTTCTCTAATGAAACAAAATGTTAAAATGTTAAAACGTAAATGCTACAAATCAGTCATCTGCTACTGAAAAAACTCAAAAGTGATTACGCTGTCTGTTCGTCTAGGGCCAATCAAAGTCCCCACCAAATTCACTATTTCCTCCTGTTAGAGTAACATTTGATAAAAACTACTACAAGAAACAACTGAGCTTTTTAAAGGGAAAAAATAATAGATCTTTTTTGTTGCAGAGGAAGTCCAAACATTAAACAAAGGTAGGGAAGTTGATTTGAACTGCACTTTAGTGTTTCCTGAAACAGATATATAAAATGTACGACTAATTTAGATGAATTGTTATCCAACAATCTTTCATATATGGCATGTCATTTTTTTGAGGTTGAAAAAAGATAGACATGCTGTTTATGCTGTTATACATCTGGGCTCAGGTTTACAACTAATTGAATCTTCAAGTGATCAGGAATGTCTGTTGTCAGCCCGTTTTATAAAATTTAATGTATAACTACATTGATTTTCATAGAAAGAGAAGAGGTTGTTAGACATTTGACGTTTCAACTAGGGTTGTCAAACAATTACAGTATTTTATTGTGAATAATCACTACATTTCAATAGTTGATCTTGAGTAGTCACATTTGTAATTGCATGTTTGAATTTCTATTATATCGCATTATAAAATAAAAATTGATTTTTATTTTGAATTCTTCTTAAGCTGAGAGTACTTCACTTGCTGTTTGAATTCAACAATGCTTTTATTTTGAAATAAAGTAAGGACCTTCTGGTGGATCGAAGGTTACAGTATTGACACAGAAAAAGGAACTTGTTAATGATCTAAATCTAAATGAAAACAGTTAAAAGGAACTGTGAAAAGTGAAATGTTTGATGTCATAAGGTGGATGTTAATTTTGACTTGTCAGCTGAGCTGTCTGAGAGGGAGAAATTGAAAGATGCATTTAAAGATGCAGCAGTGTCGTTCTTTTCCATCACTGAGACTACAGGGAGACACTGAGGAGGTTTATCCATGGTGCACCAAAAGGGACAAAATAGCACGCAATTAATTGCAAATAAAAAAATGTATGCAATGCCAGAGTTTCAAATGAAACAAAATTAACATTGGACTGTCAGTGTGTAGTCGTTCTTGTTATTTGTTCTGTTTGCATTGATTTTCACTTTGGAGAGATGTACGAGTTGTACTACTTCAGAGGTAACTCTGTGTTCTAAATAATCCATACAATTGAATTTTTTTGCATTCCTTCAGGGTGTTTGCAATTTTTTTTGTTATAATGAATAATAAAGAAAAAACATCCAGGTGATTAATTCATTTTGTTCATTTCAAACCATTGTAACAGTAGCCCTCGTTTCCTGTCCGACCACATTTTCCTTCTAAATGTTCCACCTCTAGTTCCTCTTACTGATATTTTGTCTTCACTCTGCATTATTCTCTGAGGTAATCGTTAGAACTTCCTCTGCCTCTGTATTTTTTTTTTCCACACCACGCTCTGTGCTCTCTGTTCTCTTGCCGTAGTTTGGGCCTGTGAGTAAACATCAGGGACCCTCTGCTGGAATATTGATTGTGGTGTGTGTTTTGTGGCGGTGAGGAGCACACACTGTGACCGCTTCACATCACTCCACAAAACAGGTTTGCTTCAGGGTCACCAGGAGAATACTGCTGCTGTCAGATCAGAGAGTTCATGTGGATCTTCTCTCTGCCGCTTTTCTCTCTTAGAAGTCTGTTTTTAAACACACTCTGTTTTTAATAAAACCATTCAATCTATCATTGTCAGCCTGAACACATTTGAAATTACACAAATTGATATTAACGTCTCCAATCGATGATATATGAGGCAGAACTTTGGATTATTGATGTATATTTTAAACTACAAATGTCCTAGATATGTGTGGATCCTTTAACTTCATCCTTTACTTTTTTTTCTATCCAAACATTTTGATCAGACTCCAGACAAACATGAAATAATGTTTTTGTCAAAATAAATAATTATATATGTTCAGAATGCCACATAAAACAGCTTTATTATGTTATCCTGCTCTCCAGCTAATATTAAAGAATAATCAAAAAACAGTGTCCAATTGTGATGTTATATGTTATTGCATATACTCTGACAAGTCTGAATTTACAGAGATTAGACTTTACCTGAGTTTTTTTTAGCATTAATCAGAGGGCTGGTTATCAAATCTCCCAGAGATAATCTAAAAATGGTTGAAAGTGTTGTGAGTTAATAATTCTGTCAATGTTCCACATGTGTCAACACACTTAAGACTCAAACCTGCTTTAATCTGATGTATATTGTTTGGATTTGGTGCACAGCAGCAGGTTTGATACAGGTATTCTTCAGGCCGTTCTGATTATTTGCTCTGGTCCGAGGTTACAGTCTTTCTGAGTTTGTATTTTTGCATGTTAACACATAGCTACCACTGATGACAGTTTATATTTACGATATGAAGTCGAGATTTACATCTCTTTTGGAAAACTTTGACGTTTTTTTCACTGAGTTTAGTTGGAGAATTTAGTCTTTCTAATATGGAGACGTCTTTGTAACCCTGCTCTTTCACATGCCTTTGAAAAATATATTATTGTCAACAAATTATAGAAAAATGTGAAATTATTAAATTTGTCTATTTGTTGTTCAAAAGACAAAATGTTATTTTTCATTCAGATGAAGGAGTTGAGACTTTCATCTCTACATTTTTACACTCTGTCAGAGGAAGATTCAAATCACAGACTCAAAAACGTTTATTCCAACATAGTTATAATTTTTGGCAACGCAGTTTACTTGTAGTTATTTTAGTAAGTGGACAAACATTGAGTCATACGATTGTTTGTCAAACCACCAATTTTCCCTGATATGAAAAGTAATTTTTAAACAGTTTTTTTAATAAATCATTTTGTCGAATTATTCTCTCGTCTTTTCACTTCAGCTTTAAAACCTTTCCAGTCAGTTGTCTTCGACGAGAACACATTCACAAGGATTCATTTAAATATTTCATGTTGTTTCATTCAGCCGTATAAGTCAAGTTAAAGCTGTAATATCTGATGAAGAATATGTGTGGATTTATTGACTGCAGAATTGATGATTTATTAGATTCCCCCCCATGAAAAAACAATTAAAAAAATGCTAAGTGACTAAAAATACGATTTTGTAGAATTCACGTAGAAATCAGTGTAAAGAAAAAAAACAACAACAGCGGAAATGTCGGAGCAATAAACAGTTGCAGGGGCTGATGGGGATTGATGGGCTGCTAACCCCTCGTTTGGGCTCCGCTGGGACACCTCGCTCCTTGAAGGCTCTTATGTAATCCTGGCGCTGCCTCTGTGAATTCCTGCTGTGTTACTGGATAGCCTGCGGTTAGCGCTCGGAGTGTAGGTCAAACATATCAGAGAGCGGCATCGGGAACATCTATATCTCCCTCCAGCCCACTACTCTCTTTTATCGTTGCGCAAGTGTTGCCATGGAAGTGAGTTGAGGTTTCCATGGTGCTGTGCTCATTGTTGTGAGGACATCATGTTTTGGCCTGTGGTACACCAGTGGCTATAGATATAGATAAGTGATACTGAAGGACATGTACCAATCTGCTCAATGTCAAAGGCAATTTGTAGTTCATAAAAACGGTTCCTTTAATTGTTTCTTTAATGAGACAAAGCAGGCTACATCGGGAAAAAAAAGCTTGTTTCTTTTTTTTTTTGTTATGACAACTGCACTCTTACATACATTTTTTTTTTTTACAGTCATGGACTCCCTTTGTATAACAGCACACAAATCTATATAGTCAATGGCTTTTTAGTTTTACTTGAAAAAAAATCTTGCTGATATTCTGTTATATGACTAAATTGTTGTTTTTGTGTTTCACCACTTGAGGTTAATGTGTTCACTCTCCACCCTCCCCTCACCCAAGCAGACCTTTGACATATGACCTTCCATGGGGAGAAGAATTCACCAAAAAGTCTCAAGTTCCTAAAGGATGTGCTCATAGCACATCAACCTAGGGCCTTTTGCTTTTGAAGAACATGCTTTTCTCATCATTAAAGTACGTTTTCATATATTTTTTTGTCACATACAAAACAGAAAAAAGTCCATTATATACATCCTCCATTTCTCCCGCATTGCAACCACAGGTCCGTTTTCCTGCCATAGAAGCAAAGATCACATTTGGTATCATGGGCCAAGATGTTGACCACCAGTCCAGTTGAAGCATCCATGTTTTATTTACCCTTGATTTCTACGTTTACTCTAATCATGCAGTTCAAAAGAAGGAAAAAAAAGTGGATTATAATCTTTAGAAATCCTTTGAAGCAGTTGGTCAGTTCAGCGACAAAGTCTCACAATCTGGAGAGAATTCCTTTGAAGCACGGTGGTCCATCTGGGCGTGTCTACTTGTTTGTTTGTCAGTTTTAAAGGTTATTCTGAGAGTACCATCAAAACACAATCCGCCAGCCTGCATCACATCTGGCAGTTTACAGATGGAACTGAGGAGATGTTAGCTTGGGTGATAGTGGACTTACAGCTGGTCGGTTGGGTCAGGGGTCCTCGTTGAAGCTGCTCCTTCATACCGGCCGGTCCACAGCATATTGGCAGGGGCTCAGGTTGGACACGGGGTTCTGCACTGCCGGATAAGCGAAGTTGGCGTGCTGCTTGGCCTTGAGCCGCAGACTGGCCAGGCTGGAGTTGCAGGTGTCTCTGTACATATAGGGACTAGCTGTGGTGGCGTAAGGGCATGTGGCTGCTGTCACTGCTACTGAGTTGAGTGCCGACGGGCTGTTGAGGTTGTTGAGGTTGCCCAGGTTGTTGAGCCCTGTAGTTGGAACACCAGCCACCGCTGAGGGCACCATGCTGGAGGCCATGTTCATGGAGGGGATGGAGCTGGGGGGTGAGAACATTGGCTGGGATGACAGAGGGCTTACATTCATTGAGTTAAAGAACGGGAAGCTCTTGGCGGAGAGCGGGCTGCTTGCTAGGCTCTTGGTGGCCCAGTTGTTGTAGGAGTAGCCCGTGTACATGTCATCGTAGGGCTGCATGAGTCCGTTGAACTGGGCTCCAAAGCCGTTTTTGCATAACTCTGCCTGCTGGTTCCTCTCCCGCTTTCTCCACTTGGCACGCCGGTTCTTGAACCATACCTAGGAAAGCCAAAAAGAAAACAAAAATTTGAGTCTATAATTTCAAATGTTCTAACAAGCCTTGACTCAGATTACCTGGTCGACCACATATCTTGACTTTTAAATGTGGATACAGGTTATATATATATATATATATATATATATATATTTGAACAAAAATTAACGTCCCAGCAATAGTGCAGTGGTGAGTAGTGCAACCATGCAGAGATGATATTGCTGTTATATTGTATTATTTTGTGAAATTAGTGGCTCTCAAGTTGACATTTATTTGTCTTAGGAAAATGTATATACAGGAATATATAAATTCAACAATAACCCTAGCTGTGGTCACTTCTCATTATTTATTCAATTTTACTGTAACTATGAGCATTGTAGAGAAGATTGTCTGAGCGACAAAAGTTGTTGATACACATTCGTAACATTAGTTCTAAAGACTAAGTCAAGATTTTTTTGTGCTTTGTTTTTTTTTTTTTGTTAAAGTAAATCTAGGAGTGCCCCTTCTAAGAAGACCTGTTTTTTATAAGTGGTCAGCCATTCAATACACACCAATAACAGCTGATTGGATGCCATGATAGATAAGTCAGATTAGATTCAAAGTTGACAAACAGCAGTCTGAGTCAGTAAGATATATGAAGCAAAATGTGAACACTTCCTGCTATAAGGGACCTGCACACAGCATGAATTATTTTTGCCCAATTGTCAATTAAAAGGCAGAGAGAACATTAAGTTTATTTATAATTCAGATGTCTTTTTTGCCAACAATTATAATATAGTTGCTGAGGCTGTTATTTACCTCTAGACACAAAGTGTCAGAAGTCAACACATTTCTAGTCTTCAACCCACTGAGTCAGACTACCCTAACTTCTCTCAAATATTCTCAGTCTGACTGTGTGCAGATGCATCGAGAATTTTCCGAAAGACATACTGATCCCAGAAAGAAAGTTGAAGTGTCTCGTCAAACAGTCATTTTAGGAGAGGCTTATTAAAACTAATCAATGACTTATTTGAAGAGCGAGATCACAATGAAGGAAATGTCAGAGAAAGAAATTTTGCTCATTTGTCGTTCTTCGGTCCTATATTTGGAGGAAATTAAGTGGATTAAAGCTTTAGTGGAAAAATCTTTCTAGAGGGTTTTAGAAATTAAAAACAGTTTAATTTCTAACAGTTTTAATTTTTTTACTTTTAAAGGAAGTCTTCTCCAGACAGCTCCATGTCATCTGTTTACACTCATGTATTTATTTCACATTAAAACTAATTGGTATCAAATGTTTTTCTATCTATTTCACACTGATGAATCTTATTGAAGTCCTGCGTTGATACTCAGCCGTCTCTCTGCTCCCTCGCCATGCATGCAGAGTATCATCCAGTCCTCGGTTATTATAGTAACAGAATGCTGTTGACCATTAATATGAGTATAAAGTACATGACTCTGAGTTTTCCATTCCAGTTACAGCAGGGGAAAGTCCACGGCAGACGACAGAAGCTACCCAATCTTTTTCATGACTCTGCGGCAATGCTGTTTGCAGGTTTGTGGTAAAGGCTTGGGATTATTCAGTTGCTCGTCTGCAGCTCTTTTTTTTTTTTATAAACCAGTAATAGGGTTCATTGATAGCACGAGAGTTTCATCAAATAATATCTTAAAAAGCTCCAACATTAACTGATGTCAGATTGTATGACGTAACCAAAGAGCTCTGATGATGTCTGCTTCAAAGCATGTTGGCCAACATGTGAGAGTCACATAGATTGTAATCCTTATATTTTTGTACATTACAGAAAGTATGTGACTTAAAGCTCCAGTGGGGAGTTTTTAGCTGGTTATGAAAAAGACTGAAATTTAAACTGATGCCTGTATATGACCGACAATAAAACTAGACCGTCACCAACAAGACTGTCCATGTTTTGATGAAGGAAGTGACACAGGGAGCAGGCTGCTGATAAAGCAACAATATATATACAATTTATATACTCCCAGGATGATTCGAATTATTGATTATTGTAACATTAGCATCACACCTTGGTAGTGATATGTCTCTTTTAGTGCTAATAAGCTAATGATAGCATATGAGCAGGCTAAACTATTTGGCGATTGTGGTTAATATAACCTCTGCACTCTGGTAACCTGTAACATATAGCCATTTTTACGGCCTAATGGTAAAAGTGTTTCAGTCAAGTCGTGAACAAAATGTCATCAAAGTCGCAAAGAAACTTCACAATAGATCAATTCAATAGATCACACCAAGTGTCCCTATAGAGCCTCAGTGGAGTGTCATCAGTATATTCCATCAGACTATAACGTTGATGATTAACAACACCTCTGTGACAAATCCCATGAATCAATGTGACAGGTGAAGTATTTTGAGCATGAAGGAATCTGGGGTTGGAAAAGGCCACTGATAGACATTAAGTAGGAGACATTGTGCAGACTGTTGTCCTTTCAAAATAACAACCAAGAGTGTGAGCTATGTGACCTTTCAACCAGCCAACATTAATTTGATCCATTGCTTGTCGGGCAGGCCAGCGATTGTATTGTCGTCCATCAGAATGTGTGTCCTCCTGCTCCATATAGATACAATGACTAAACCACTGTGTGTGGGCAACCTCGGCTTCACCCCTGACTTTTACATTTAGTGTGTGAACTTCAGCTACAGTGAAATGGAATACGGCATCATACCTAATACAGAAAACATTGAATTTCTCAATTTTTAAAAAACATTTCTCACATATCTTATGGTAAGCTAATTGTGTCCTGTATTTTACTTGTGATTTTATAAAGTTAAAGCCAGTTTTAAAGGCTAGTAAAGACTGATCAGTTTGTTACAGCTACTAAAGGCTTTGATCAAACATGATGAAAGAGGTCAGCCTTAAAACAAAAAGGGTTTCTTATTCCTGCCACCTCGTAAGTTTCAAAGCAGGGTTTAAAAGAATAAATTCTGATCATTTACAAACACATAGTTGCTTACTTTCATTTCCTTCTTTTTCTTTGAGTTAGCTGCTACGGTAACTGCTGGTGGGTCGCACACATCAACCATCTTCTAAAAGACCACACCCCTGTCCTGTCACCCTCACTAACCCATTCACACAGACATCAATTCTTACAGCACCATCTTTATTGCTCCCTCATTTTGTCTTTACAACCCTTTCCCCTTATGAAGGCTGTTCAAAAGGGGGTATAGTCTTCCTCAGAGGATGATGCTTCTGAGGCCTTAATCCAACAACATCATACCTTCTAATGAGAAGATTTCATGAAGCCAAAAGACTGCCAGGGAGTCCAGATGGAGTAACAATTTAATGTGGTCAAAGCTGGATGAAAGATTTTCCAGCTGCAGAGTCAGAGTGATGGCTGTTTTTTTTTTTTTTTGCCTGCTCTGTATCTCTCCATTCTGAATACAATTTCACAACAAGAGAGTATAGGACTTCACGCCTGCAATCAGCTGCTGTAGTCAAAATGAAAACTGTCAGGTGCAGAGCTGTGTGTGTACCCACCCTGACGCGGGCCTCTGTGAGGTTGGTCCACACTGCGATCTCCTCTCTGGTGCTCATGTCGGGGTAGCGGTTTCTCTGGAAGGTGGCCTCCAGCTCCTGGAGCTGCTGGCTGGTGAAGTGAGTCCTCTGCCGCCGCTGCTTCTTCTTCAGAGAGCCGTCCTCAGCGCTCGACTCATCCAGCTGATTCTGGTGGGATTTCTCTGTGTCTGCAGGCACGGAGGCAGGAAATGTTAGATTAGGGCAATGGGAGGGGCAGCTAAGAAAAACACTTTTTACATAAAACTTTATGACTATAGTATTAAATACTGACAACTCAGCAAACCTCAAACTGTGGATGAAGACAATATAATGTGTGTTAAAGCTCTGGAAAAACTATAATGAAGACCTCCAGTTCAAACCTCCCTCATCATTTCGTTTAAATAGTTCAGAGAATTTATTGAAATAAACTGTGAATACAAATTGAGAACAAACTATCGTTTCAATATTATCAAGGTTTATTATTATTTAATCATAAAAACAGTATCAATTTTTAGTATCATCAATGGATAATTTGAAGATGGTTTACTGACACATTGCATAATACTGCAAACATCGTAGGTGTGCATTCACAATCACAATGTTGTGAATAAGAAGACAACAATAAAGTGAACGAGAATGTGAAAAAAGGAAGAAATAAAATAGCAACTGAAGTTAATCAATTCTAGCTAGCGTGGACTTTTGCAAGAACAGGTCATTGAAAGTGAGCAAGAATTTTGTTATTGTTTTTTGTACTTGTCAACATTTTAAAGTTAGAGACATTTAGAGATAGTTGATGATGCCGTTACTAACTTGTTTGACTCAGTACACTGAGGGGGCTGGATCAACCCATTATTAGGCAACACGCATAATAGGGACACATTTATGTAGTGTGTAACAGAGAATCACAGAATACACAATATTTCAAAAGACAACACTAGACCCCTCATCAAACCAGAAAAGTCATGTGTTGTGCCTAAGTGACACATACATGATTTTAAAAACAGATCTGCAATTATTTGTCTGTTAATTGACAAAATGATCGTCACCCAGTAAACCCAGAGACTTCAGGTTATAGCTTTGTCGGCCATGCCTCCCTCTCCCAGTGAGGCAGAGCTGTGATCATTGCATAATTAATCCCAAAGCCATTGACTTGTTTGTGCACCACAGAAATGCTTAAAGGGAGACAGCGGTTATTTAGCTTCAAAAACAAAAACATATCCTGATTAAATTAACAATTAGAAGTCCATATCGTCAAATCTGAAAGATAATCTGTATCGTATAAGTAACATGTGATTCAAGTATTTCAAGTAGAGGTGCTCATTATAACTTAATATCATCTTTCATGTCATTTCAATAATTCAGTATTTCAGTGCCTCTCTGGTTAAAGTGGACACATTGTTGATAACGTTGGGTAGTTTCACGTTTACAAATCATTCCTGAGTTTATCATCACTGTGTTTGATACAGAAACCAATCATTCACAGGCTTACTCTAGTTAGTGTTTTTGTCAACATTTCACTCATGACATGTAGTGGTGTAAAGATAGTATATGATAGAAAATCTATTTTTTTACTTAACTTCAGGCACAATTTGCCTCTGCATGAAGTCAAAATGTAAACATGTAAAGTTTGTTTTGGATGAACTGCTTAAAGCTTTACAATGACAAAGCATTGTGGAAATCCCTTTTTTAACACAGATATCATAGTTAACATGAATAAATAATTCCTTAAACGTTTATTCCTTCAAATGTCTTAAATTTAGGCTCTATTATATATTTGGTTTCCACATGTCCTTCTGTGCTTTGACTATAAGACTGCCCAGGTAGGTTAGAATAAATGTCAATTAAGAGTACATATAACAACTTAATATCATCAGTGTATTTCCTATAGTCAGTCCCATATTTCATTATAAACGAGCTCCTTCATAGCATACAAAGAGACTTGTACAATTGTTACCGGAGTGTTCAATAGATATTAGGGGAAAACGTCACTCAAACCGAGTAAGGATGCACCTAAAAGCAAATCTGCTTATTTCCCTGTACAGTCTGAATGAATGAAAAGAACTATAAGCACATCCTTTATCAATAAGAAAAAAGTCCATTATTCTGACACTTTCAGTCTGCCTCATTGCATCAGCACTATCCAAACTATGCTGAAAGCGATGGATGATAATGTCAGATCAAACACGATGTGAAATCCCTCCGCCCCACTGGACGGGTGTGACGTTGCCAGGAGAGAGCGATTCCAAACACTGCATTACGTTCAAAGATGTGCAGGAGCACTGAGTGATTGCATTTGGCCCCCAGCGCAGCCACTTTAAAGGACCACACATCCATGTTATGTCTGCCAGGGCTCCTCTCACTCCTGCAATTTAAGGACCTCACAGAAAGAAGTGAAATTAGTTGGCCAGCTAATCCTGCGGATCAGGCTTTTGTGACTCGGGCAAGTTGGGCTCTGTTTGGCGAGGGCTTAGCTCTCCGAGCAGCTCCAAATGATCAGCAGGGTTTAAAAAGAGGCTCCGCAGGGCCACCAGCAAAACCAATAAGGGCCAGAGCCAGGCTGTTATCTGGCAGTAAACTGACACTGGGTAAGCTGTCACTTAAGGCCAAAGTCTATCACAATACAGAGGAAAGGGCAGCAATGCGCTGAGCAACAATAGGAGCAATCTGACTGATAATGTGCCGACATGACAGAGCTGTTCCAGGTCAGCTTCTCAGAGGGATTTAACCTGGAAAACAACGGCGATGAGAGGCTTTTAACCAAATCACTTTTCAGCATCTAAAAAAACAACAAAAGAATATATTCACAGAACAAGAGCTGCAGTTGTCTTGTACACATCATTAAAAAGGAATAGTGAGGATGTATGACAAAAGGAGATTTATTTTTTGAGAACAATCTGTTAAACCAGCTCTCAAGGGTTAAAATCAAAGTCAGCTTTTTACAGGCGCTCTGCCTTTTATTTCAGAGAGAACGCTTTTAATAAAGAGCCACATTGTGGATCATTCAGTGATGGGTGTGAGGTTTTCCTTTGCCTGAGGCACGGGTGTCAGTCCGGTGTGGTAAGGTGTGGCAGCCAGAAAGTGCTTCAGTACTAATGAGATTCAAAGATGTGCTTTGTTTGTGTTATAAAGACGGGAAAATGGCAACAATAAGCTGTCATAAAGTAGAGTATAAAAGCAATGATGTTCTTGAAAGGGAAATCACCCTGTGGATAAAAGTGTTCCCTCCATATTGTTTCCCTCTGCTTTTAAAGGGAAAACAGATTCACATAAAGCCTGGTCATCTTTGGAAAAGTCAATTTTTTTTTTACTGCCACAAAGTGATGTCACAATGGGGCTATTTTCTGGAATCCTCTGCGTGTGAAAAGACTGAGCTCAGACATCTCAAAATGCAACCCCGTATGCAGCACTTTTTCAGAATTTTGATTTATTTTTTCCAAGACTGCAGTGATTTCATTTAGGGAGAGAAATGTTAAAGCCTTCAAATACTTTTCAATGTATTAGCCTAAGTAAAATTTAAAAATATAAATCATCTAAAGTTTTATTGAACAAAACATTCAATACAAATCTAAATCACTGGGGATTTATTAATGTGAATCTACTGTATGGATTTGATTATTAAACATATAAATTAGTTTTATAGTTAGAAATAAATCATAATAATAAGGGCACCATTTGAATGACTAGACATTATAACCAGAACTTCCTGAAGTGGTATTCCTTAGATCATGGTTTTACGTTTTAAATCCATCCAATCCAACCAGAGAAATGTTACGGATATATCTGTCATCGAAGGATTTATGTACAAAGTGTCTCTGTTTGTTTCTCCTCTTCTGTTTAATCCATCTGACATTAAGACCCAATGAAAAGCAGCAGTACACCTGAAGAAGAGACATGGTTCATAGACAGCACATCATAAATTCTCTGAGACTATATGAGCTACTTGAGTCCCTCTTAAGAAGTCTGCAGCAGCAGGAGGAGGAACATGAAAGCATTTTTAGACCGAAATAGTTTGTGTTTGACAGTTTGTTACGACTGGATTTCTAACCACACACGCTTTAGCAATAAGATTAGGTTACACACACTTTAACACACACACCACCAGATAGTCCTGCAGATTGACAGAGAGGTGGAGGGCGTGTTATATTTTATATTAACTAAATGTATATTAGATAATATAATAATCATCCATGAGATCATTATTTCATCATTTCATCATTATTTGATCATATAGGACCTCAGTATGCGTGATGTAAACAGCATTTAGCCTACATCAGTGTGATTGAGCAGTCCACCAATCAACACTCAGCATTTATGAAGGCTAATTAGAAACGTGTACGACCTCTTGTTATCGCGTGACTTACGTTTCGATAACAGCACTGAATATGATAAAACAACAAAGAATATCCAAACCATGACCACGACAAGGATAAAAACAGTAAGTGGACGTTGAGTCATCACTTTGTTATAGGCCACTTTAAATAACTATTCCTTTTTATTATGTATTTAGATTAGGCTATATTGTTGATTAAACGTGGTCAAATTACGATTATAATCGAATCAATTTGACGGTTTTTTAAAATAATCATTTCTCCAAGAGTGCTGAATGAAGGCTAATAATGTGAGCTGACTCTGCTTGCAGCTCTCAGGAGAAATAAGTTTGTCTCGATTGGAATACATTTTCATATTCAAAGTCAGATGAATAATGTGGTATTAGAGGCCATCAGCTGCGCCTGAGGCAGAGAGGCTGCTGTGTAAAGACAGAAAATAAAGCTCCAATTAACCAGTCCACGTAGCAAAGACGTTTACGAGTGGAATCATGCACATCCCTTTTCAGTTTAAATAATGGAAATGAGCTTAAGCTAAAAGAAAACGACTGATCGCAGTGTAGTAGGTTGTTTTTCTTCTTCTTGATTCTAGATGCAACGCAATGCAGTAATACTGTAAAAATATACCGACTGCAAAATCTAATATTAAAAGAAAAAATAATTAGTTTGCATATTCATAATTCATTAAAGCTATTGCAAAGAAATTCGCTGCTATTTCGGATTATTATTATTATTATTATTAGGGTATTATTATTATTATGATTATTACTATTATTATTATTATGTAGGCTACTTGCCTTTATTATAATTATTATGTTTAGTTTAGAAGTTTGTGTTCGTTTACTTCAATGCTGCTCTGTTAATATTAGGCCCACGTAGGCTATAGCAGGCCTAGATGTGATGACTCGGGCCTAAAGTTTTCTTTAAAAAAAAAAAAAAGTAAACAGTCTATATTATGCACAAAGCCCAGGGTGAGGTGGGAACTGACCGCTGGTGTCCTGGCCTTTACATCCCGGCTCGTGCTGCGGGGTCCCGGAGTCAGAGAGCGACAGCGCCGGGCTGCGGGCTTCACTGTCAGTCAGCAGGTTAAAATCCATAACCAGGCTCTGCAAACACACATGAACACAACACGTTAGAGGACTCACGTGCTCTGTGGGCAACATCATCAACATCAACAATTACATACTCGCATCGTTATTTCCTGCTGTTTTGGGATCATTTAGGCTATTTGTTTGATCGCCAGTGATCGTGCCTTTAGAGACATTCAGAAAAGTATTGTGTGTAGGCCTATACACGTTCCTGTTGAAAACCACAACGCTGCACACATGCACTATTGTCTTCTCACTCCGGATCACTCCGCGCCTTCACACACACAACGTGTCCCACAAGACGCTATTCCTTAACTCAGTAAAACCTCTAAACCCCTCTCACTGTCCCGCTGCTTCAATGAAGACGAGGGTAATAAGGAAGGGATGACATCGTTGGTAATGCTTTCATTTCAGTCCGCAGAAAGCGTTTAAACATGGACTCATGTTTGGTTGCACAGGGTTTGGCCTGTCAGACATCAAGTTAATATTCTGATTCTGTTTGTTGGAACTTTCTTTGCAGCCTCACAGAAAAAAAAAAATGTTGACAATACTCAGGCCTTGGAAGAGTTCTGCAACCTCCAAGCAAACAAAAACACAGATTTACTCTTAGGTTGTTGTGTGCTTAAACACAGACATAACACAGGCATATTGTTGAGGATGATGCCCCACTATTTGAATAATTGTTCTACATTTTTCCATGGTTTTGAGTAAAAGAATGCTGACCTTTTGTCCCCCATGCACCAAAATAAGAACAGACCTTGTTTTCCTGCAGATAACTGATTTTTAGATGTAAGTTTCATTTATTGAAATGACGATGCCTTCGTTTGATGTGGCTCCGTGTGTGTATTTGTTTAACTTGGCAGCACATTCTGCTTCTATTTTCTCCTCCATCTTTCCATTCAGCCCAGGTTGTGGTTGTAATCCCGATCCCTTTATACGAGCCTGACATAAGCAGCTATAACAGGACCTGCCCTGAGTTGACTCTATTTTGGGCTACGTGGGGAGAGCAATTGAGTTATTGCTGTAAAATACATGATGACATTTTAGAGGCCAATTCCAGCCGCTGCGATAGAACTGTTGCTCAATGGAGGTCAAAAATAGCTGCTGGTTTATTTATCCGAGGGCAGTTCACACCTTGAATATATTGGGGCGTTCAAACACACACACCTAATACACTCCATCCAAGATGATGTAGTGTTGGGATGATTTATAGCTACTATGCTTTGGAAGTCCAAAAGAAGCATATCATCTGTAAATATTTCATCAGAAATGCTATTAAATGATGTAGGAAGTAAAGGAAGGTAACGCCCTTTAAAAATGTATTTCAAAAAAGTCAGACAAGTTTCAGTATCAAATGTAGGAAACATGTCGACATGGAAGAATAAAAGAGTTTAAACAGGCGTTAAGTGAAGGCTCAGCCAACCTAAACTGTGCGTGCAGTTACTGTTTACCCTCCTTTTCTGTTTACCTTTGCATTTCCCAGAACAGTGGCTGAGTAAAACCCAAAGTTTACAGGTTTAGAGGAGAGTCTTAAGGCAGCTGTGGGCTACAATGAGTCCATGTCATCAAAGATTTAAAAAGGCGATAAACCTCATCCCTGAAAATCAAACAGTGACTCGGAGTCAGGTATTAGGCTCCCTGGCTGCCTGTTTGGACGCAGTGTGCCGTCAGGTTAGGGAGGGGGGTTGGTTATACTTGGATGCAGCAAATGTAGTTTTTTCAGGGGTAAGACACAATTGTCAACCCGCCCTAACACCCACCCACCAAATCTTTTTGCCTCTGGAGTATGCACCCCCCCCCCTCCCCCAGCAGAGTTTCCCCGTGGCCTGTTTGCCACCATACCAGCCCTTTGTGTGCCAGTCACATGTGACTTCTGCCGGGGTTAAATCTGAATCCTGGCAGGGGCGAAGGCAGGGTTCTGAGAATGGCATGGCATCAAACACCCCCCTCTCAATCCCACAGAGACAGACACACACACACACACACACACACACACACACACACCACATTGTACAACTGGATTGAACTCTTGAACCAGACTCACAGTCGACATTTCACGTTGCTGAAATGACATTATTTCCCTCTGCGCTCTTTGGACATCAATTTATCCTTAAATTGAATTCTACTCAAATTTCTTTCAATAGCACATTTCATACAGACGTCCATTCAATGTGTTTAACAGAGAGCCCCGAAATTAATCTACCAAAAAAACCTCATAGGCTGAAACCTTGAGCAGCACCGGGCTTATTGGTGGGCGTCTATCTGACTGGGATGGATGAGCATTTAAAGACCGTTTCAGCCACTCCAAATATGTTAGAGCTGACAATGGTAAATCCTCTCACTGAAAGTCTTAATGAAAGAAGAAGAGGATCTGTGTTCTTAGAAATAAAATAATTGCAGTTAATAAGTGAGATGTCTGTATCCAATCACAGCAGATGAATGTCCTCCAATAATCTGGTTCTGCCTGTCAAAAGGAAAATGTGCCATGCTCTGTTGCCAAGTGATAGCTCGTTAAAGTTAGCTTTTTCCAAAATATTTTTCAAAGATCATAGTCCTGACCTGCTCAATTTGTAAAATATCATGTCAGAATTTATTCAGTAAATTTGATCTAAATAGATTCAAAATGTATTGTTTGATTTAGTGACATATATTTGGTTGATTTGTTTCTAAGTGATGTTCTTGTGCTATATATTCAATAATGATCTATTTGTCTACTTTGTCGCAGTCCTCAAGGAGAGCACCAGCTCTGTTTAAGTCTCAAGTTACAGTACAACTTTGAAGTGAACAAATTTAATAAAACATATAATCAGGTTAAATGAAGTGAATACATTTAAAGGTTCACTTTCCTGTTTGTGATTTCTTGACTTTTGTTTTTTGCTCTTATCTCAAACTCAAAAAGATATTTGTAAGCTTGATTAAAATCTTTTTTTTCACATTTGGAAACACTAATTGAAACTGAAGTCCTCCCCTTGACAAAGTCATACAATGTATTAAAAATATTACATGCCACACAGATTTCTCATTGGTATTGGTCTGACGGAGTTTGTCCTTCTTCACTGTAAAACTTCTCGTAGAAAAAACAGACTTCCACTTTAGAGAAAGCTTCAAACACTAAAAACACACGAGGATACAAGACAGAAAATGTATGAAATTGTAAAACCATATATATCAATACATTAACACACACAAGCTAGAAACAATTCCAACCTCTCCATATATTACAATATCCATCACAATATATCCTCTGATACTTGTGTGCAATAACATTCAAAACTTACTTGGTGCAATAACATGTTGAACTTTTATACACTGTGCGCATGACAGTTTTTTTTTTCTCTATAACTGTGAATGTTCAGACTCCATTTGTTACAACTGCAGCTCTGTTTCGGCTCCTCAAAGATTTAATAGTGCATGAAATCTTGTGTACTGTGTGCTCTTTCTGCCTATACTTGCTCTTTAGTGTAACACTGAACACATGTCCGTTGTGGGAAAAATAAAGGTTTATCTCATCTTATCCTATTACTTAAACCATCCACTTCATTTTTTTTACTTAAAAAAAACAAAACAACATATGGAGGCAATTTACTAATTTGCTCTCGAAGCAGCTCCCACTGAGCTGCACTCCTCCTCTCTCAGTAAGTTCAATGATGTGAACTTGGCACACAAACACTGTAAGTTATTAAAGTTTTCCCTTAAACTCTCCCTGACCCCCACTTAACATTGTGTCAGTGACTCCGACAAAGCATCATAATGCTGCACTAAAGCCAACCTGCATATTCTGATTAAAGGGTTAGCACCTTATTACCACTGAATCTCTGTGACATCTGAGAGGTGAGTCCACGTTTTCTTCCATCGAACACATCTGCAAACTTATTCCAGCCGCAACAAACATCGCCTCAGCGGCCTCCAAAAAGAAAAAATGCTGTCCATTGCACATTTTAGATTTGTCACTGCTAACAAAAGTGCCTTTAGAGAAAGACATTTGCATCTGTTTTTTGTTGAGCATCCGTGAGAATGATCAGAGCTTTTCCCAAAGATTAGGAGACAGGAAAATGAGTATTCTTCTGTCGGCCAGAGGCTCTGGGAAGGAAAAAAAAAAGACGCGAGACAAGAAGGATCAGATCGACTCTCCCAGAAGAGAGATTACCTCAGTAAGCACGCTCCCTCTGTGTTGGTGCGTCGGATTAATGAGCCTCTGATATGGATTTGTGGGTTAAAGTTGACATGTGGGTCAGAAAGATCGGTTTTCCCTTCTTCATAGCCGCACAAATATTGTTGCATTTTTTTGCCTCTTTTTGTAGTTGAACAACTAAATAACAGCAAATGTTCTGTCTGGTATTGGATTTCAAAGGGTGCTTTGAAAATGTGACCTATTTATGTACATGTATTTGTTTTTAGTACTGATTTTAAAGCACAGTAAAACTGGAATCCTTTATCTTACGTTTATTATACTTTGTGTTTAAGCCTTTAAAACAACCCTGTACCCTGACAATTCAGCATTTATGATCTGATAGATCAAGATAAAATGCTACTCATCGGGCACACATCAGCAACGGACATGTGACCTTTGCTGCTTGACATCTTTAAAGAAAGGTTAAAAATGTGTTTATATATCATTTTGATTGAGGAAAAAACAGAAGTTTCTCTTATTTCAAAGTAACAAAACAAAAAAAAAATGAAGCAGCAAGAAACAAATGAAACACACCAGCAAACTGTTGAACTGTTTTGAAGAAGAGATCATAAAGTGTTGGTTAAAAGCAGCGTTACCTGTGTTGGATAAAGCTGTTTTTTGGTTTTTTTTTTTAGGGTTTTAAAAGCAAAGACCTCCACAAACAAGTCCCGTGGCTGCTGGATCAGGTCAGTCAGGGTAGTCGCCTGCCTGACAGAGCAACAGCTGTCCCTTTGTGAAGTCTAGTCGCAGCAAGGTTCAGTATTTTGGTCAGAAATATGAATGTGAGCCAGTCCGGGGGGGGGGACTTGATCCACTGTGGCAGTGATGGATGGACAGGCAGCCTGGTGTCAATGTGGTGCTGAGAGGCCGGCTGGCTTTGGCAGTGAGGGGCGTGTGGGTGATGCAAGCCAGTCATTTTGTCCAGAACAAGGTGTCAGTAACCCCCCTTCCCCCCCCCTCCCCCCCTCCCATTTTAAATACACATAGAGCAGGGGCGCCACATGATTATATTTCCAAAATCAAGAGCCCTTCTCCCCCCTCCCGGTGAGCTCAGTATGACCAACAAGCTAACACCGAGCTAACAAGCATACTTAGAAGACAGGCACATTGATCATAGTAATAATGAAAGAATATCTGTGCTTGTGTGCTCTGCCGTAAAGTTTATGAAAATCTAAATAAATAAATAAACTGAAGGGCCAACCCTCCTCTTCCTGTATGGCTCAGACTATTTCCTGGCGCACCTGTGCCACTATAGCAGTCACCTCTGCACCCCCACATCCACCTGACACGCTGTTCCGCCGCCTCTGTGCGCTGAAATAAAGCCTAAAACATCGTTTGGATGGTGTTGCGTGTTTACTTTTTCTGCTGCTGGCCTCCTGTTCAGAAAGTGGACGCAAATCAACAGCAAGGCGTGAGTCTCCGGTTTGCATTAGCTGGAGCGCTTTGCATAAGCATGCGCCCGGTGACACGGTTCTCATTAAAATATATATATCTGGTGATTATAATATAAAACATAATGATGGAGGCAAAAAAAAAAAAAAAAAAAATCCTCTAATTTTTTCGGGAGATTGCGCGGGTCCATCTGGCGGTGCGCGCGGCAGCTTGCTTGCATTTCCACGGACTGCAGGCATTATCCCGGGAATTATTCATAAACGCGACGAGAATTAATTCCCGGGATTAAGAGTTGATTAAGATGTGTGTCACTTTGCTGTCTGAGAACTTATTAAGGGCCTCCTCGAAGAGGCAGCAGATGGAATTTCAGTCCAATGTTTGTAGATGTTAATTTCTGCCCTCCTATAACAGACATTTGCATATGATTGAAGAGAGAGGCCGCGCGCTCCTGCAGCACAGTGATTAACAGAGAGAGAGAGAGAAGTTATTACCACGGACCAAAAAAATACACTGATCTGATTTGACTCTGTCAGCGAAACGGAGGTCTTAATTATTGATAGGAAATTAAAAGAATATAAAATAAACAGAACTAGAATCATTTGATCATAATATTTTAGGTTTGTAGGTTAACAATGAAGGGATTCACGGCTGAAGCTGTGCGCTGTTATTGAGAATGTGAATTAAGGAATTTTAAGTGTTTTTCCTTTTCCTTTTATTTATTTATTTATTTCAGCTAGCCTATTTATTGATTGATTTGATGAATGAATTGAACTGACTACTGCTTTTAAAAAAATGCACACATTGGGCTGTAACTTCCGGGCTTTGTTAGCCTATATTGTGATTTCACAGGTTGGCTAGTTAAGGTCAAATGCAGCTTCCCTTCTTCAGATTCGTATTGAAGCATATTTGTTTGTTATAAAAATCAAAATCAGATTGTTTTTTTATATTTATATAATAAAATAAAATAAAGTGATGGAACATTTTTTAAATGAAATAAATATATACATGTGTTTATCTGACGAATAGAGACACTGTGATGCGTTAGTGTTTGGCCTCGTCGGCCATGGCCTTCAGTCTCGCCTCTGTTACACTGGGTTTGATAGGCTAATAATTAAAAGAGAGAGATTTACATTGCACCCTGAGGCCAAACGAGAACTTCGATCATACAAATCTTATTTTCATACGTCCTGACCGACGGGACAGATGCAAAAGAGGCCAGCCTTCTTACTGAAGGCCTCCTGAAAAGGGATCTAAACAGGTGATTTGTCAAGAGTTACTCTGCCTTAATTGTTATTTTAAAAGAATAAATAATTAAACATAGGTACATTGATAAAAACAAATCCAAAATAAATTCTTTAGTTAGAAAAAAGCAGCACAGACCTTACAATGCTGAGTTTATTGGTGGTAAAAAATAAAAAAAAATAAAAAAAAATCAACCATAAAATGAATAATTAATAAAAATAAATCGCGTCTTGTGGGCCCCAAAAGGGGTTTAAAACTCCATTTTAAATGTCTAACGACAATAGGCTTATTTCTATGCACGTCTATATTTAATTGACAAAAGAATGAAAATGGATGCTGGGTTAAACAATGAAATGAATTCGGTCTCACGAAAAAAAAAACTAAAAACTAAAAAGAAAGAAACATTTAGGCTAAAGAAAATTCCATGGCGAGATTTGCTTTTCGAGGCTCCACCTGGAAATATTACATTTTAATTTATTATTTTCTTGTTTGCAAAATATTTATCTTAATGTTATTGTCAAAGTCAAGACTGAACAACCTTAATATTAAAACGTCAAAATACAGGAACATTTTAAGTCCTAATGTTTGTAAAAAATAAAAATAAAAAAAGGGGACGAAAACAATAGCCTATAAAGTCATGGATGTGCGATTGCTGAGTGTGTATTTGTGCGTGTCTGTGACCGTGTGTATGGGAGGTTGGAGTTCGGGAAGGGGGGGGGGGGGGGGGTTACTGCTCTGTTTTTCTGTCCGTGGTCTCCTGTGGCCCCGGCAGCCACCTGCCACCTATCAATTTCACTAACATCCCCAAATATTTTGACCTCCCAAATATTTTCACAACGTCCGCCTCTGCAAAGTCTTACAATTCTGGGGGAAACAAACGAAGGAACATGCCATTGAGGGCCTTAAACAACAAGAGGAAAACTGATTTTTTTTCTAGGCCTGGAAGCGCAGCTTAACCAAGTTCCTAAATTACTTTTTCCTACCTATATAGGCTAGGCTATATGGATGATTCATTGATACAGGACGGCTTTGATAACTGATGGTTACGAAATCACGGCATTGTGTTAGGCTACTAAAAAAAAAAAAAAAACTAAGCAAAGCCAAAATGACACTGCAGAGTCTTTGCTTGAAATATTTTGTTTTTCGATAACGCAGATGTGTCTTTAAGATGAGTTAAAATTGTCCCATAAAATTGTAATAATGTAATGTATATTTTTCTTGAATCGGAGACACCAATTTTGACACACACACACACACACACACACACACACACACACACACACACACACACACACACACATTCATAACGTGTCGCATTCAGCATCATGCGTGCTCCATGGACGCACACCCAAAAACAAACTGCTGCTTTTACTTTTTTTTCTGTTTCGAGTCACATCCAGAGCACTTCAATGCTGACAGCTGTTCTTCAATTAGTACATAAATAACATGGCGCTGATGGGATAACGAAAAGCTTCTTATTAAACATTAGAAGAGAGTTAAAGAAGTCACTGCTTTAGATTTGTTTCAGCTTTTACACACAACTAAAAACGCACTGGATACGCACCCAGACGCACACAAACAAAACAAGAGGAAAGAACAGAAACAGTGTGGTTATTGGCACTTACATCGAATCCCGGTCTGGTTATATTAATCCGTAGAAAAGGCAAAGAGCTTCGCTGCAGGCTGATGGGTAAGTTGGCCTCAGGTTTGCTAGTGACATGGACAAAAAGTTCCCCGGTGTTTCAAAAAGTCAGAAAAAAAGCTTCAGTCAGTTTCCTTTTTTTCTCCTCTTCTTCTTCCCTCTGTGCTGTCAGACATGAAGGCTGTCGAGGAGTGAGGCTTGATCCCCACACATAGTATAGGGTTGGAGAGGGGAGGTGCGGGGAGGGGGGGGGGGTTGACTTCATGCTAAATATTGTGTGTGACAGGTCCACTGTAGAAAGGACGTCCCCCTATTTCTTTCTCTCTGTCTTTCACTCTCTCTCTCTCTCCCTCTTTTTTTTGCGCGCACATGGGGCACATACCCACGTAGGCTACACACTACTGCAAACACACACTTCCCAAAGTCCCTCCCCCTCCCTCACCTATTGGCTCTCTGTCTACAAATACACTCTCCATCTCTTTCTCCTTGCAGCCTCCTGGACATTTTTTATTGACAAACTCTTGTCGTTAAGCATGGAAAGGTGGGGACTTTATATTGATACTTAAATCTAAAAATGTATTTTTTTTTGTTTTAGCCTTTTTTATTATTCTTTGATGTTCATGCAAAACCTTAGCCACAAATCCAATTGTACAGCCATGGGGGAGATCACTTCCTTTGTTATCAGCTGGACCACTTTTGACAGAGCGTTCCAATGGAAGCAACATCTAAAATTTGATAAGGAATCAAAGGGATTCAGAAAAGATACAATTAAAAATATATAGCCTAGCTGTATCTTAGAAAACTGAGATTTGAAAGTGGAAGGCTAAATACTATTTAGGGAAGAAAAGGAAACTGTGAGCACTGAATGTAGGCTATCATTTGATTCAGTCAAACTTCAAATAAAAAAAAAACAAACACATTTTTTCAAATTGTCACTGGTCTACATTATGTTTGCATTTCAAATGTAGTTCACATTGGTGAAGTCTAGCAAAAAAACTCATCGAGTTGCTGTCAGGTCTTCTAAATCCTAATGGTACCAGCTGGCTGTGTGAAGCCTGGAACCAGAGATGCTGCTTGTCAACAGGCAAAGAAGGCAACTGCTTGGGGCCTCACACCAGTAGGGCTCGTTGCCCTGTTCAGCGTTGCAAGAATTATTTTTGTGAAAACCAAAGTTTGTCATTGGAAGTCAACAAAGAAAAAATGAAAGGCCCTGACACGCCATCGTCGGCCGTCGGTCCTAGTTGGACTGTCGGCTAGTGATCGTCGCCATAATTTTTGCGGTGTGTCCGGCTCCGTCGCTACTACCCCCTGTCGGCCTTTTTGCGGCCGATTCGACATGTTGAATTGGCGTTGGCCGGCGCGGTTTGGGGCATGAATCACTCTGATTGGCTGTTCAGCTAAGCGAAACAGGAGTGCCAGTGCACAAGAAGAAAAACAGAAGCGCCTCCTCTGTGCTTGTTCCACTAATAAAAGACCCAAGGCTGAAAATGCAAATGCCATTTTCAACTTTTATCAGACATTCGTCTTGATTAGAAGTACCTATATTATGAGTGGCGAGCGACAGCGGTGAGAAAATAGTCTTCTCGTATCGTAACAACGGTTTATTTAAATCCCCATTCTTCCTCCTCCTCTTCCGGTTTCCCCCTTTTGGAATGACTATAGAGACAGAGGCAGTATACAGACTACTGCCGCCTGCTGGCATGGAGAGTTATTGCATCTCACGCATACGCAGAATTTACGTGGTGGTTGGCCGTCGCCTTTAGTCTTTGCGGTGTGTTCTAGTGAAACAAATGGCAAGAAGTGACAAGAGAGGCGACATGAGGCAACGCCACAGGCAGCCTTCGTCGTGACTAGTTCTTTGCCGTCTGCTTGGTGTGTCAGGACCATCAGGCCCCAAGAGACTCTAGAATCGCCACTGCCCGGAGCCAAAAAAATGAAAATAGTTGAAATGCCACATGAGATGAGATGAGATTTAAGAGATTAAAGTCAAATTTTAGTGTAAAAATGAAACCTGCTCAAATGTAAGTAAAGAAATAAAAGCATTGTTGTGCTCGCCCTCTTGACTCTTCAGCTTCGGCTGCTTTTCCAGGTAACTCAGCATGCTCTTTGCAACAAATCAGACGCTTGCAATACAAAAATGTATGACAACAACATTTTTCTTACCAGGAAGATGTCTTCTTAATGTCTTTTCTTACTGGTTTTTACTATTTTTATCTTCTTTTACTTCTTACTGTCCTTTTATTCATGCTCTTATCTTGTATTACTGTTTGCTTATGGATGCTGCTTATGCTTTGTTTTTGCTTTTGCTGTTTGTCGAAGCACTTTGTAAACCTGTGTTTTTAAAGGTGCTATATAAATAAAGTTATTATTAGATGGTGTGACGGGGGGCACAGATGCAAGAGATGGGAGCAATTGAAATACAATGTGATGAGCAAGAGATAAGAGCAATTAAATATAAAGAATAAGAAACTTTGTATTGTTTTTGCATTGGAGTCCATTTTATTATTAATTATTAATATGAGTGTGTATGAATGGGATTATTTCTGATGGTCACTTTACAGAGCATCTGCCATCAGTGTGTGAATGGGTTACATGTGTGACATGAAATTTTAAAGTGCTTGGAGTAGTAGTGTCTAGAAGACTAGAAAAGCGCTCTACAAGTCCATTTACTATTTACCATTTACTTCTACGACTTTCAGATAAAAACAAAGCTCTCTTCAGATACACCTCCTTCATTCCTCTTCCCTCACTTGGAGGCCCGGCTAATGATTTTAGAGGGAGGAGTTTACTCAGTAAACAACATGTATGAAACATGTTTGAGCCTCTGAGAAAAACATACCCTCCTCTCCGTCATGTGAACACAATGCCAAAAACAACAAATCCAAAGGGAGTTTGACTTAACTCTCTTTTCAGGGAGTCATTACTCCACAATGTATTTACATTATAGGGTATATTAGATTTTTGCTATCTCGGGTTTCAGAATATCAGATGTCTTTAAGGTGTTATTTATATGTATTTGATGATTAACTTCCTGGTGTTCAAGATAAAACACGCAAACTGTCACATTTAAGGGGAAATGTGCACATACCTGAACATTACAAATCTTGCTAGCCTATTTCAAACATTAATTTAAAATGTTCAATCAAGTCAAATTTTTGGCTTTAAAATATTTAGATTTTCCCCCCTTCCTTTATATGGGAAGATGCCTTTAAAATGTAAAAGATGATGAAGTTCCTTATTATTACCTCCCCAAAGAGGAAGTCTTCTTTTGTAAGGGCATGTTGAGGTGTATGGGGGCAGTTATCGTCCTGCAGGGTCCTGATTCAAAGATAGCTATGAATCACAGTTATTTAAACAGTGTTAACACATTCTTAACACAGCTGTGAGCTTTGAGATATGAAGCCGGTGCATACAGTGTTCATGCTAACGTCTGTCATCTCTCGGTAACCTTTCATGCTAATGTTGGAACTCTGAGGTTTACACAATCAACAGTGGGAGCAGGTTAAGTATGAAAATGACCAAATCTTGCATGCAGGTGTATTTGCTTTTCTGTAACACCTGGTGTGTGAAAGGAGCCCACGCTGCATGCCAGCACTGATAAACTGCTTTTCCAGTATTCTGCAGGTCAGCCCATACTGGATGGTATAGCAGTAGGGACAGTGAAGGTCTAAAGAATGGGGGCTGAGGACCCATTAGAATTTTATGTTTTAAGGTCAGTACTTAGTGTTTAATAAGGTTTTTGCTATAAATGCAATGCAATCTGTGGGAACTTATTCTATCTTAGCATGACAAGTCCACGAGTAAGGATGAACCATTTTCCCTGTCTTTATGCCAATCATTCCCAAAGAGCTAGCAGAAGACCTGTCAATAATGATAAAGTGGGGACTTAGCATTATTGGACTTGACCTTTGGGTTCCTTAAATGTTGGTTATAGCCTCAGTCAGATTTCAAAGTAAGGGGACCTAATTCAAGGCACTCATTGTTCAAGAGGAAAAGATCCAATGGAACTTTTCCACAGTCAATATTAAAGCAACATTATGTAACTACTTCACCTTTAATAACAGCTTTAAACATATGGTGATATTACCATGACTTGTAACAGGGAGAATGGTTCCTTTTTTACTATTCCAAACCTTGAACGCTTGGTGAGTATGCACACAAACAGCAGACCAGACAAGAATAAAGCCTCATTGTGAGCTCATTCTCAAGTTGTCAAATTGTGACGCTTTGTCATGAAACCTCAGTATCTCATACTAGGTGCCCTCGACTTTGTCCCCCTTACCCTAATCCACATCATAATGTTTAAGATACTTCCAACCATGACGTATTTGATCATTTTAACTCAATTACCTAAAAAAGTAAGACTTTCGTATGTTAACGAGAAAGAAAACACAAGGTACCTCAGACAATGAGAGCCTGACAAAGCATCATTATTTAATGACCTGTGAATATGATGAAATCTCTGTGAATTACACCTGAAAACTTCAAACCCAAATTGCAAAACATCAACAAGCAATTCTTGCAAAGTCTTTCAATTGCAGTTTACAATTATGGTACAGGGGGATTAGCCAGTTGCTCCTGCTAACTACTCTCTATGGTACCTTACTGTTTTTAAGTTATTTTATGCATTATGCACTCAGGCCCAAAACACTGCTCTACAATGTCTCAAAGGAATAGATACATTGGATGGACAAGCCTATTCATAACTACTACATATACCAATCAAAAACATATTTGCCAAACATTTGCCACAAAACATATTTTTTTGCAACATGTTATCAATGTGTGTCTTGGAATGTGGAAAATGAGTTTCAGGTACAGTATGCGCTGCTCCTGCTGCCTCAAATCTCATGCAGGATGATCTGTCATTGTCTCTTAAAATTTTAAAAAACATTTTTAAATTAGATTGAAGGTGAAAAAATGACTGTTTCTGCCCTGTGACTCAAGAGTAGTCGATCTGTAATTTCTCGGTGGTTAATGTGTATAACTGTCTCGGCCAGGACACTCTTGTAAAATAGATTCTTAATCTCATTGAGGTCTTCTTGGTTAAATAAATTATAATTATGAAATTTGTTTTACACATGTTATTAGATTGTATGGGATGTTGCAAATGTACAGTACATGCTAGAACTTAGGCAAATTAAAACAGGGCTGTTATTGCTGCAGTGGTGCAGACATGTGGTATCTGCTACTGTGGAAAATGACATGCGTGTGTTTGCAGATGAAATGTTGCAATTACAAATCTAACAGGTGATCAAACACTTTGCAAAGAGCAAATAAAGGTCTGACACAAGTCAATTCCACAGGCTTTAAACACAGAGAAATACTGTGTAGGTGTAGGTGTAAATCACACAGCCACTTCTGAGTGCACAGAAAGATAAGAGATTGGAAGAGACAGCAAAGCAATGTCAGCTGGATATGGTATTTGTTTTGATAAGATTTGATTATAATGGGGCATTCTCTACTTTCAGCGGGGGAGTTCCTTTTTCACCCACGTTTTTCTTTTCACCCAACAAAACAAACATATCCCAAAACAAAACAGGAGACGCATTATACATTATATTAATGAACATGTAGTGTCGCATACAGCCACAACAGCATTAAACACATGTTAAAAGTAATATCACATACCAAAAATAGCTTTAACAGTCCTTCTTCAAGGACTGAACATCTTTATCAAATGATCTGATGAACACAATGCAAGCACAATTGTAACGTCAGGGGATCAATGGACTCCATACTGAAACAATATACAAGACAAGTGGTTTCTCTAATTTAATTGGATAATGTCTAAAATCCAAAGTAATCTCCAATACTACACTGATAATGTTTATGGATCTAAATAAAAGCCAACTAAAAATATTAAAAGGGTTTTCCTTACTGCTTTTTCCCGTTAGAGGTCGTGGGGGGCTGGAGCCGATCCAAGCTGTCATTGGGCGAGAGGCGGGGTACACTCTGGACTGTACGCCAGTCTATCACAGACATATAGAGAGAGACAACCAGCCACACTCACATTCACACCTACGGGCCAATTTAGAGTCACCAGATATTAACCTAACGAGCATGTCTTTGGACTTTGGGAGGAGGCTGGAGTACCCGGAGAGAACCCACGCATATTTGGTCAATAATAATTAATCTGATAAGCTATTATTGTTGCATTTAACTAAAGAACTGAAAGATTAAATATTGTTCAAGTTGATAAAAATGTGGTTGCCATATATTTTCCATATTGTTGTTCTTTTTATTCATTCGTGTTGATGGCTCAAAGTTCAATTTTGACCTTGGGAAAAGTCATTTAACCAAAAAATGTGAACAAGGCAGAACCTCGAGTAAAAGCAGACTGATGTTGAACAGCTGATCTGCTGAAACTGTGTTGGGGTTGAAAAGTGGGACAGAAGGAGATACAAAAAGAAGAACACAGACAAACAGAGTAACAACAACAACAATGAATACAATGTCAGTAATAATGGTAAAAGTGTCTGTAGTATTAGCAGTAACAGCAAAGATTGATACTAGACATATCAGTCTAATATCAACGTGAGCAACTGTAATGATGATGAAACAGGGAGGACTGATATTATAGAGGTTGAAGCTGAGCAGCTCTAAGATTCACTTTAATATTTATATTACTGATAATAGATATAAGGCTGATATTAATAATTGTAGCTCTTAGATTCACTTAAACATTTATAAGAAATATTATATAAAGCTCATATTTTCCAGAGTTTTAAACCACATCTCAGTTGGAGGCCTATTGAGTGTTTGGGAACATTAGGCCTATATCAGTTTAACATCAAGGACCCTTCACAAAGGACAAGATAAACTCAGAAACAGTCAGGACATTTACAGAAGAGTCTTGATCACAACCTAAACAAGATGACAACCGAGTTATCTCCATGCATTTCCCTCCACTGATAAAGAATCTGTCTTGTTTCTCATCTGAATCTTTATACTGTAGGTGTCAAGATATTGATCTCCACGTGGGCATTTTGGATTTAACACTGCTTTCCTCTCAAAGCACCATATAATCTAGTATAAGAACATGTAAAAAATAATGTATGGAATGATTTGTTTTAATATAAAATCATTTATTTTAACTGAGGATTTTTCAGCCCATTTTTGGCTTTATTTCTTCCATTTATTGGAAAAGGAACTTTAAAGAAATGTACATGCGCTATAGTTGAACAGTACGTTTCCACCAGCTAGTTTTTATTAGAAAAACAAATTGATAATATTGATAATAGCCTAGCTCTGTATCTTGAATTAGCCTACATATGATTAAAAAGGGCTGACCATGATTATCGTGAGTAAGCTACAATAATAGCCTCGCACTTTTATTCAACCATTTAAAAAGAACCACCCTAATGAATGATTTTGCACACAAACCCTGATATTAAACCGGTTAAACCCAGTCATAGATCGCTCTTCTCATTGGTGATGCTGGCCGAGCTGCTGTCGTCATCAACACAATGCAACCAACCCTTACAGCACCACTGCTACCTTTGTCCCGCCCCTATCTCTGTGTTACATATGCAATATTCCTTTATTTAATAAAAAAAAGTTGCTATTTATTATATAAGAAACATAGTGCATGTGCTTATACAGTGGGAAATCGAATAGTATCATATTTACATGAATTGTAAGACGCCATATATCTATCAAAACGACCCGTTTACCGGCCTGTCAATCAATACTCAAGCTCGGTTGAGACTGCAGAGCTTTTCCACGTCAGTGTGTTTACCAAGAGCAGACTGACAGCTACAGGAAGGTGTTTCATTTATCCACGTATGGAGCACTTTTTGACGGGTGAATGAACAAGGGGTGTTTTGGGTATACGACGTGATCACGCAGTGTAATGTTTGAGGTTATAAGAGTGCCATTTCGTCGTGGTGAACTAAACTTTGCTCCTCTTCATTCACTGTTTGGCCGGCTAGCTTGCTAGCTTAGCCGAGCGAGGCTAGCATTAGCAACATCAGGACTCCATCTTTGAAGTGACAGACGAACACACAGGTAAAATACTTTATTTCTACAAGCGCTCAAAACTAATTGTATATTATATTCACTGGGGTCTTACTTTATTATTTCAGGAAACTAAAGCACTAGTTTCTTCAGAGAATGGACGCTGACAAGTCGTGTACTAATAGCCAGTTGACACGCTAGCAAGTTGAGCTAGGTAGTTAGCTGTCAGGTTTCTGGGCTTGTAATTGATCTTGTTTATACCACAAACATGTTACCTATTCAGAGAATGTAAAGATAATAACGAATGTATTAGTCCTGCAATATTTCTCTGTATTATTATTCGACTTGGAGGACTGTCAGCAGTCAGTAAACACCTCAGTGTGGTGGAGAGTTAGCTTGCTAGCTTTCCTCAGAGTAGACACAAGTTAATCTAATTAGCCAGCTAGCACCTTCACCGACAACCATCTCATTGGCTTTAGCTGTTTGACTGTATTATGTTAAAGTATGGAGGGCTTCACTCCAACAATGCAAGATTCACATTAGACATCTCCAGATTCTTGTCTATAGTGGGATGTTTTTTATATTTAAGATACTACCTTATCTTAAAGAAACATCAGCTGTCACCTTACAGCAGAGATGAGCAACTTTGGTGACAGCAAGGGCCACATTCATTTAATTCTCACTGCCAGAGGGCCAAATTAAACGATTACAGTCGATTATGTCTCAAATTTAACTCAACATATACCAGTGATCAGATATTGTTATGGACATATTTCTGGTTTTCATGATTTCATGGCTGATTTTGTCATGTTTTCTTCATGTTTCCAATTAATTGATGTGTAAAAAATTAACCTGAGGGCCAAATTTAAGGTTGATGGGGGCCGCATGTGGCCCCCGGGCCTCCAGTTGCACACCCCTGCCTTAGAGCAAAAGAGGAAGCCTTGGATTTTCTCATCAACATCTGGTGATTTGTGAATTGTATCTCTGAAATGGCTATCATTATCACTAGAAATGGATTACAATTCAAAGGCTGTCGTTCAAAAATGTAACCCCCAAAAAGACTGTTTCCTTTATCATTTTTAATGGTTATGAACTTTTCCAAACAGCAGGGAGTCCTTTTGCCCCTGAACACATTTTGACATGTAGCATAAGATACTGGCACAGGGGGGGGGGCAGGTAAATGTTAACAGTTCTACAGTATGATTGATTAGAGAGTATTAAGTAGAACAATTCAGATTGATTCAAATGTATTTGTGGTTGAAGACAATGCTAAGAATGTAAGCCATCTAAAGTGAACTTCAGATTTCTACGTTTTCAAAGAATTAAGATGTGTAAACTTCATGTGTATGAAAGAGTTATTTATGTTCCATAGCATTGGTTTTAATTAATCTTCTGTTTGGTTCTGAGCTTAAGCTCTTTGTCGTGATTATTGCAAGTTCACTTTAACTGTCCCTTTGGTGTCTTTAGGTAACACAGATTTACTTATTGTAAATAGGACTTCCGCTTTCTTCATCTAAAAAAATGCTCTGCGGCTGGAAAGGAGAAATTATAATCATCCAAAAACTGCAGACTGACTGGCTGTTGTGTTTAATTACATCTGAGATAGACTATTTAATCAATCAATAACAAATAAGAACTGCGTGACATTTATCATATTTATTGACACAAACTTTATCTACAAGCCCTAAGCATTACAGTTACAATATGTTTACATTCACCCTTCTGTTAGGGCTGGACGATACGACATCAAATCAATATCATGATTAATTGAACATTTTATCAATAATTTCGTTTAGTTTTTTGCCCTCATAGTTCACTGACATGGTATTTACTGTAAATATGCTCAACTATTGAAGCTGGGATATTTTTTCTAATGAAAGAGTGCCTATCTGATTAATTATTTTGTGTTCATTAATTGAATATTTTGAACTGAAATCAAAGCGTTGCTTGAAATATAAACGACACATTTTAGTTTTAAAGTAAAAATTAGTTTCTCTAAAACAGTAAAAATAAATAACTTGCATTTCTTGCAAACAGTTTTTCCACAGTGTTTACATTTGACTTCTTTTTGTTCAGTGTCATCTTCCCTAAAGACAAAATGACAGACATTGCTTCCATGTTGCGGATTGGACGTGTCGTCAAGTTTCTCTGCCCTGAAAAAAATCAAAATCGACGCGGGCAAGATAACATCGGTTAGAGGTTCTGAATGTCGGTTTTGATTAATTTTCGATTAATTGCCCAGCACTACCTTCTGTAACACATGGCAATATTTATATGATTGAAAACTTTTACATTTCAGTGTCAAACATAATAAGCAATATTTTTTCCAAACAGATATCATCAGTGTTAAAATCAATGACTGACTAATCAATGACTAATCGCTTAGCCCAATAAGGCACTCTGTTATTTTGTTATATAAAAATATAGGGACAGATGTAAAAGTAAGTTGTGATACTCTTACTCAAGCAAGAGCTATTCAGTTGTCAAATGTGTACCCTCAACTTACCTGCTTTTTCTAAGTCTGCTTTTCCTGCTCTGTGCAGAGTGCAGCTGTATTATGTTGGAAGTAATATAATATTGGATTACGGCTCAACATCTTTGATTCAGGTAGTGGTTTAAAAACGTAATCTGTGCATTACTTGTGGGAACCTCCATCCGCTACAAGCTTATTACTCTGTTCATACATCCTAGCGGCTACCTACCAAACCTTCATCCTTTTATCATTTGGAAAAGTCTGCTTACCATGAATTAAAGAAGTGGACTCAGCCACCCTGTTTCCACACTCAGAAACCTTCTCTTAAGAGTCTTATCTGGCATGGCTTTGAAGACCCAACAAAAAAGGTTAATCTGACCATTTGGAGGTACACTGCTGGTCAAATATGAACAGCATGTCATTTGGATTCTGTTTGGTTTTCCATATTGACTCTTGGCATTGTCAGTGTACACATGGAATTTGATGTTTGGTTCAAACATTTTGTGTTCACTTTAGGTTAGAATCAGTACTTTGACTTTAAACCTTCTGACATTTTCATCACATCTTTCGCAGTATTTGAATTTTTTTATAATTTATATATTAGGATATTTTACATAACAGATTAATGTTATGTTAATGTTAATTAACTGATTAATTATAGAAAACATTTGCCCTGTCTGGCAGTTGAAGTGACTGCTCAGAAGCCAGTAGTACCTCATTTAGAGAGCTAGTATATGGTGATTTAATTTATCTAAATACTGTAGTTTTGGTTCTATGTTTCATTAAGTGTTTTTTGTTGGATCACACATTCACCTGTTCATGCACCTATTTTTTAAATTTCAGTCCCATGATAATGTTAGTCAAACAGTTGTTTTAATATTCAAAGCTCTATGATAAAGACCCAGAAGCAACATTTACAGAGGTAATTTTCTTCCTTTTGAGTCTGGTGGTGTGTAGTGTTGTTTTACCTGAACTTCACACTGAGATATCAAAGGCGTGTGAATGCTTCTGGAGCATCATGCCATTTCATCCAAACCGACTGTGACCTCTGTTAGAGTGTCAGTGTCATCAGAAGCAGCTGTCCTGTCAGCACCACTGACCGAGGAGCTGAAAAGACAGCAGAAGGACAAAATGTCTTCACCAGTCTGACTGATATCGGAATTTACTTTTAGACACAGTTAGCATACAGGGTTTCATGTTTACGTGCAACTGTTGCTTGAGAGACAGGAAGAAGAAGAGGGACATAAAATTAAAACATAAAAAGAAAAACAAATATTATCTTAAAAACTTTTCAAACTGTATGCTTTTTAGTCATGCTTTGACTGATTTTAATGAAATATTTCCTCTTTAACATCATTCTATAATGACAATGAAGAACTTTGTAACAATGCATTTATACAAAGGGACTATAAATGACAACACACATGTGTTACAAGGGCTTGGATTGACTTTCTCTTTTCAAATATGAACTATTTTGTTTTCTTTTCAGAGCAGCAGCATGGTGGACAAAAATATCTACATCGTCCAGGGTGAAATAGGTACGGTTGTTGGAGCCATCAAGAGGAACTCCAGATGGAATTCCCACACACCACTGGTAAGTTACACACAACTAGAATGCTAAATCATTTTAACCGAGTTTGGGTTACAGTAGTTTTACTAAAGATGTTAAAACTGATGTGTGGTTAGGTTCTTAAAAAGTCTGTGATGCAGTTAACATATCATTTTAATGAACATGTTCCTTGTCAGATCCAGATGTTATAAACCATACAGTGAGTGATAATAATAAAAAAAGAAACTTCTGTAGAGCACTTGCATATTGAATGCTGGTGTAGGAGGAAGAACATGTATTAGGTTGCATCTTGATGAATTAATTCTATTTGTTGAGACAATGTTTACGTCATCGTTTTCTTTCTTTAACTTACTATCCTGCATGCAGTCCTGGTTCAGAAAAGAATACTGAGCATACACTAACGCAACTGATGTAATGTCAAGGATGCAATATAAGAAGGGCCTACATGAAAATGATGTCAAAAATCCCTCTCTGTCATCATGTATGACTCACTAGAGATTTGTGATGGTGTAAGTACCTAAAAAGACCTGGCCTTCTGTCTGTACTTTGAAATTTTCCTATCAAGGCAAAGCTGTTAATGCTTTTCTCTATTCATGTTTTTAATCATTGATTTAAAGGGTTTACTAATGACAAACAAAAGAGCAACTACACCACAAAGAAACTGAGGATTACACTGTTTAAAATAAGATCATTGCACAGAGAGAAAATGTTACTTTCAAACTCACTTTGAGTCTGTGGCCTCAATGAGGACTGTAACCTCACATGGGGCACCTGCTCTACTGACTGAGATAAACCAGTGTCCGTATATATTTAAGAAATTTCAGATGTTATTATTTTGTTCATTCAATCGCATCCTGAAACTGAGAATTTAGTTATTAAATTAGTTTCTACTTCTCTGAAAGGCAAATGGTGTCCAAGATGTTCGCCAACACTGCCATCATGTTCTCTTCTCATGCTTTATTTCTCTGCACAGGACGAAGAACAGGACCCATTACTTAACAGCTTTGGCCACCTCAAAGAAATACTCAACAACATCAAAGGTATGTGGGGCTGTGGTAATGTAGGTAATGTGTAAATTGATGGGATCAACTCTGATGACCGTACCACACAGACAAATTAACTTTTTCAATTGTTTTAACACATACATTTAATAAACCTTTGTGAAGAGATCCAGTCTGCGGCATAGCTTCATGGGTTGCACATGTCACATGTTATATGTAGCCTCAAATAAATCTAAAACTGCACAAATTGGCATCATTTTGAGCAGAGAGTTCCACCCAAAGGCAGATTACGCAACATGTACACTGCAACAAGGTGTTCGGACCCCCCTCATGAGTGAATCCTAAGTCAAAAGGGTAACTTTTTTATTTTTTGGTTCAGTCGCATGTTATGGTTATCTCAGAGATTTTACATTTTTAAAGAAGCCCTACCAATATCTTTAAAAATGATCTGCAACTGATCATCTACAAGTCCAATTTCTTCCCAAACAACAGTGCTTAACTTTTGCAGATGGTGGTTTCTTACTTCCCTCTGACTAAAATATAATTTAGGACACTCTTTGGGTCTAAGTCTGAAGATTGGACCAAATTCATGGCAGGCTATTTGCTGATGTGTTGATCATTTCGGAAGGCAATATATTTGGTACCTCAGTCTGATCTACTTATACATAACTGGACTAGGTTTCAGCCTCGTGCTATGAGTATTAGTGAGGTGAATACATCCAAAGGAAAGAAATTGGATACATTGACTGCTATGCCCTGCTTTTCCATCATTGTTTATCTGAATCCATTAGAAGTACATTTTCAAATTAAGAGACATGACTACAAATGTAAAACTGCATTGCTTAATGCTGTTGGCATTAAAGCTGTTGGCAAGTATTAATCTGTGCTTGATGCTTCAACTGAAAAATGACCTCCAAATCAGGGCCTCTTTAACTAAAAGGCCAAAGGTTAAGGATAAACATGGACTTTGTCCAGTGTAATCACACAATCACTTAGTGTGGTGATTGATCATTTGTGAGTCTAAGTGTTTATAAATGCAGTGGTTCCTTTCTGACAGTGCGCCCCCCCCCCCTTTTTTTTTCTTCTGAGAGAAGCCCAAGCTGGCTCTGAGGACAATCCTGCATGTTGTCATGCCTTTGCAATGAAAGTCCTGGCAGCTTTTACAGCGTTACAGCTCCTCTTGTAGAAGTCATAAGCAATGGGAAAGATGCAACACATGGAGCTCCACAGCCTGAGCCCCCACTGCTGCTGCCTTCCTCCAGGGAATGCCTCTGCCACAGTGAGATGGACAGGCGCTGCTGGCTGTGGAGGAATCCACCACACTAGTTAACCCCCCTCTTTGTCTTTTCCTCTCCCTATAACCCCTTTCCCTTCAGCTCTCATATCAACGAAGGCTGTGTTCTCTGCCCCACATAAACCACTTCAGTGTATTTGATCATAGTAGAATTGAAATGTTAAATTTAAATAATTTTAGGACATTTGCATAAATCCATGTCCAGGATGTTTAAGAGGCATGTTGTACCCTTAAGCCCAAATCCCCTGTGCACCTAGCCTCTCAAATGGTACATCCATGCCCTGATGAGAGACAAAATGAAGATCAAATAACCACAGTAGCTGAATTCTATGCTTGACAGACTGATCAATTTGTTTTGTTTTGTTTTGAAAGCAGAGTAACTACCCTAATAGATCTCTAGCTGTGTCTCTCATACAGAAACGCAGCAATATTTTGGTAGGAGATCTTGTGGGTGGGCTCTGTTACTGCTGCTTGGAGCCTTTGCAGCGGCCCAGCTGTCTGCTTAATGAAAGCCCAGTAATTCCATTGACTCTGGTGTGTATCTCCGCTCACTCTAACAACAAAAGCCAACCAGCAGAGGAGATATGAATTAGGTTTCCCAGCCCCTCTCTCTCTGGTCTCCCATTTTCTTTTCAGCGTTGTCTGTTGCCCTCACTCTTTGGCTGAGGGTTTCACTGCTCTGGGGGTTCAGTTCTGTTGTTTGTGATTGACAGGACCATGTGCTGTAGAGCTGGGGAGTAATGCAGCTGGAAGTATATCATCTGCAATTTTAGTTGGGTAAATATAGCAGGGAGTCTTGTCAAGCAGGGAGAAAAATTGCTCTGGGAAAGGAAGTGTTGTCTTTTCTATGAAATCAGGAAAAAAAAACGTCTTCAACTCCTGGAAAATGTGGTGCTCTCTCGATGCTTGAACAATGAGAGTACAGTTAGAGAAGCTCGGCCAACGATGGACCATATGTTGTGATGCAGCAGCTCCACCTTGCCCAGTCAGACAGGCCAATCTGCCACAGGAAGCAGGAGACTTTCCTCTGATTTAAGCGAGATGGTTTGGAATCAGCCTGATACCTAATGCTCCATCCCTAACCTCATTAGACCCATATAATTGAGTGCTTTCCACAGCTTTTGGACCAGCATCTGTTTATAGTGTACACTGGTTTGCAAAGAAGTATTGTGTTTTATGTCCTACAAAATTTACTTTGTAGAACACATTGGTATTATATCTATAATGAAAGAAGTTCTGCGTTTAAGGTTGTGCAGTTCTCAGAAGAATTATGGGAGCATCATTGAGCAATGAGATATTTCAAGCCATTTAAGCCAATATGAGAACACACACACACTCCTGAGATTTTGTGGCTCAACCATCAGTTAAGTGTGTAGAGTAAGCTTAAGGATTCATGTCAGGCCCTCAAACCATTTGGAGCAGGATCTTCAGCTTATGCAAGTTTAAGTTGTTGTCATAATTGTTGAGCGCATCTGGCATGTTCAGCTAGACAAAAAATATGAAAATAAATGTAGAATGTGGTGAGGGACAGGATGTTAGAATTGGAGGTGTGTCATTTCCATTTTTGTCTATTTATAGTATTGATAAAACACAATTCAGAGGGCCTTGGTTGATAACAGGAAAATGTTCTGTGTTTAAAGCAAAAGATGCTTTATTTTTCAAAATACAGACTTAAAACCTATCAGCTTAGCTTCAGCTTTTATCCCTCTGCATACACAGATATCTGCCTATTTGTGCAATCAACAAATCTGTTAAGATTTGCACACCTCAAACTCTGGAAAGCCTGGCCCAAACATTCATTATCAATTATTCAACTATCTTCTGGCTACACTAGAAGCACTTAAATATTGGCTGTTGATCGTTTTCAGAGATGGCTGACATATTAACATTTGTTAATTTATTTGAAATGTCTCTACGGCAATGTTTGAGTCCATCAGTTGACGGTAAGAATTCTGGCAAAAGAGCATATTTGTATTGTTTATAGTTCACAAAATAAGACACTTAAATGGGTTGCATTAAAATATAGGACCCTAATTTGAGCTACCAAACCTTGGACACCCATACAATCTTTTCATTTTTTTATATACAGGTGCCTTGTTTCTTAAACCAAAATGTTGAGGTGTTGTTCAAAAATATGTGTTTGTGTCATAATTGATATTTTAAAGATTTCTTGACATTTTGAGCCTTTATTAATGATTGCTGTGGTAGGATATTACTTAATCAATGATAGTTGGTGAACAGTCAGAACAGAGAAGTAGCCTTTATGGTGACAATTGCCATGTGGGCAGTGTTGTGTCTAAACTGGGTGCTATACGATGCTGACAAATTGACTCTGAAATTTGATTATTTGCTGGAGGCATGTTGTGCCGTTATCAACCACAAAAGTATAAGAATACACTAATAGTATTATTGTCTTTGGTGCTATAACATCTCAAGCATTGTTCTGAGCCTCAGATTGAGTTTTGTCTCTTACCTGACATTGACAAGGGGTCTCTTTCATATAAGATTGCCATCACACGGACAAATCTGTCTCAATCTCTTGTTGAATAATTCTGTGGATTTATTTTATTCCTACCATACCCTAGAGAGTACAAGAGCACAGAGAGCAGCCTTTTATTCTGACATACATTTTATTTCCCTCCTTCTGCCCACCTATCTTTTTCTTTTATGTGGCACCTTTTTTATGCAAAAGTCACTGAGCCTCAGCTTCTCAAATCTTCAATTCTTTCCATCCACCCTTACTCTCACATCAACCCCCTCTGCTGCAGCGAAGGTCAGATTTTTGACAAGTCTGCAGAAGAAACAGTCTGCTTCTAAATCCCTTCATTTTTATTCATACAAATACAGGTTTAGAGCTCCTTGCAGCCCCCCAGATACAAAGCCAGAGTGGCCTTTTGACTGACAGCTTTCTGCTTTTCTTTCAAACACTAACGAAATTCACAAGCACACCTCTAATTGACTCGAATCACCAACACAGCACCAGAGGAAGATATCAGGGGGGCATGGTAGTGGATTTGCAGAGTGAACATTGTGGAGGATGATTTGATTACTCTCCAGCTGACCTTTATTATAATTATGCTGGTTTCCCCAAAGCAGGGAAAATGCAGAGCTAATTTGCCTTGGAATAGTGGTATTATTTCAAAACTGATGTGTTTGTAATCAGTGATCTTGAGGCCCAAACATGTTACATTAATTTTGTGCATACACTAATTCGTTCCGTCTGTTAGCAATAAAATCAAGTACTCATTTGCACCAGTTTACTTTTTTTCTTCTCAGTTTCACACAGCCTAATCCATGCGTTACTGACGATCTTACTAATTCATCACATTTTGCTGTCATGTCAGTCAGCAAGAGAGAATGCACACATGCCGCCCCTCTCAGTCTTATTTCAAGGTCAAGCCCGAGTGTATGTCGTCTTGGTCCCCAGCTGTGGTCAGGCTGGCACTGTGGGGCCTCCCAGGGGTCACAGCCCAAACACTTGGGAACAAGTTGGGGCCTTTTAACCCCCCCTCCCCCCTCCCCCCTACACACACACACTTCCCTGCCACCTGATCTTCTCACATATATCACTCCCAATTGAATCGGAAGAAAGCAGCTGGGTGAGGAAGAGGAACCATAATTCATGTCGCTCAGCCACTTATGCAAATATGTTTACTCATGAAGGCATTCTGAGCAAGAAGAATCTGCCTCATGGCAATTCTTTACATGTCAGACACGTGGCCCCCGGTGTCCTGTAGCTTTAAGC